GTTAATGTGCCACAGATCTATATTATTATTATTTATTATATCTATTATTTATTATTGTATTTATTATTAAATCTATTATTATTATGTATCATTATATCTATTATTATATTTATTTTATTTTTTATTTATTATAATATTTATTATTATTATTTATTTTTATTTATTATAATATTTATTATTATATCTATTATTATCATTATATTTATTATCATTATATGTATTATTATTTATTATATCTATTATTTAATATTATGTTATTATATCTATTATTATTTATTATTATATTTATTATTTACTCAAGAATTAGTTACAATGAAATAGTTTAAAGAAAAAGTAATTTATATCATCTTATTTATTATAAAACACAGATTTTGTGTGTGTGTGTGTGTCAGTACGTTTATATATTGGATCGGATTTCCTACATTTTTCAACAAATTTCAACAAAACTTCACAGGACTACATAAAATTACCTTGTGGTGGTTCTGACACCACCCAAAATTGGAAAAACACAATTGTTTTTGCACGAAATCAATTTGAAAACACGATTAAGAGGCATTAATGACAGGGGGACAACTCATATCGAATTATAGTTATTATAAAACCCAGGTTGGTTGTGTGTGTGTGTGTGTGTGTGTGTTCATTTATATAATGTATCGGATTTCCTACATTTTTCAACCGATTTCAACAAAACTTCACTTTTTGAGGGGCAGGTAGTGGTTCTTATTGTCTTGCACACTTTTTTCTTTATTTTTACATTCAGAATGCTTTAAAAATTCCATTATTACTAACACATATTTTGATATTTGGTGCCATAAAAATAAAACTACAATACATATCAATTCAGCATTTAATCTCCTTCAAAGTATTCCCCTTCTAAAGCTACACACCTTATCCAGCATCATTTCCATTGATGGGAGCATTCCTGGAACTCATTTTTTGGAACAGTGAGCAAATGCCTTGTCACTTTCTCTTGGAATGCCTCGACATCTTGAAATCTTGTTCCTTTCAAGTGAATTTGATTTTTAAAGAGTAAAAAGTCACAAGGGGAGAGATCTCTTGAATATGGTGGCTGTCAGACATGGGGAATGTTGGTCTTGGCTAAGAACTGCTGCATAAGACACAGTCACTGATGAAACCTCTGTAGTTTGGTGAGATTAGCACACTCTACACACTTTCCTTCCAAGCACTACTATAAACAATGAAAGCAAACAAGAATATTATAACTTAGTGTGTATGCACAACAGTGTTCAAAGTCTATCTGTGCCAAGCAGCTTCATTCTATGTACTTTAACTTTGTTACCATAGCATCATTCCCAATATTTTTTGCTCAGACCTCGCAAAAGCTAATAGGCCAGTCATTAAAGGCTACTATTCTATATTTCCTTATGTCTTATTTGTTATAAAGTCCTAAAGAATAGTGACTTCATGAATTTCTTAGACTGGTTCAAGGTGATGTTCATATCAATTTTCATCATCTTGTGACGGTTACACACCTGGCCCAGTGTCGGATCCTTTGGTTACGGCGCCAACGGTGACGTCGCTCCTCCTGGTCGCTCCTCCTGGGTCCAAGCGTGCCGCTCCAACCCTTTGGTCAGATGATCACCAGCCTCGCCTTTCCCGACTCGCTTCCAATACCTGGTCACTAAAGCAACTATACCGATCTCCGGTCTGTCTACCCACGCTGTGTTTAGATCTTAGACAGACGGGACCAGCAGGGATCGGGGCCGATACAAGTTGAGTCCGACAGGGGTGGCAAAACACAAATAAAATAAAAAAAACTCACGACACTAAACAAAATTGCTGATAAAAAAAAGGGTAACAACCTTTTTATATCTTAAAGTCCGTTACATAAAAACAAAAGTTGTTCTCATTTCCCGACCCGCTCTGTGGACTATGGCACCAAGCTTCTATCACACAATAGAAAATGTCGAATTACCTACTTTCTAGAATCATGTATGTATGTCGGAGTGTGGTTCAGTTCGACACTGGGGCTAATTTCTATCGATCATTCGCAGTTGATTCTTCTCTCCGACTTGAGTTGTATTTCTTCTTCTTCTTCGTCTGCTTGGGCTGGTAGTTTTCCTGTTTCAACTTGGTGGAAGATTTCTTGTTTCAACCTAGCCGCAACTCTCTGTCGTCTGAGGTGGTCTCTTCTCACTGCCGTCCGGAGCTGAACTTTAACTTCTCATCGACTTTCGGCTTGTCTGCAGCTCCAATTCTTCTCAGGCTTTCAGGCAATCTTCTTCTTCATCTACTTGGGCTGGAAGTTCTTCTTATCTGAGGGTTCTTTTCTCGCTGCCCTGATGCCCGCGTCCCTGCCCGGATGAACTCATTTTTTGTCGATTGGGGTCCTGCTTTTTATTGACGCCGCAACAAACTGGGGTGGGTCTGTCGGCGTCAGGGTTTTCTCGATAATTCCAAAACTGCATTAATTCTGTCTTCTCCATTATCGCTATTGTTTTCACCCCTACTTCCTCGCAGTACCTTTGGTGGGGCGGCGCACATCCATCTCTTTAGTCTCTCGTATGTCAGGTGACCGCTTTCAACCAATCGTTCCTGATCGAGCATTTCTTTCCCTTTTCTTCCGCAGGTCACGTGATCGTATTTGACCAATTGTTATTGGTCGAACATTTCTTTCCCTTTTCTTCCGCAGGTCACGTGATCGTATTCGACCAATTGTTATTGATCGAACATCCTCTCCCCTCTGTTTGCGGGCGTGGTTACATCGTTCTTATTTAAAAAAAAAAAATCCAATTTTTCCTTTTTTGCACGTACGCAAAATGACAATCTTTAGCTTTCTCTCACCTGGACTTTGTCAAACAGCCCGCTGCTAATTAGTCTTGACTTTAGAAAGGATCTTTTCCGCCTTCTTGGCGTCCTCTGTGAGCCAAAAGCAATTGTCCCTCTTTTACCTTTTGTTTTTCCTGATAGTCAGAAAATCTTAATTATCTACATTGAAATGTCTCTACTTTATTAACGTGGGTGTCCAATTCTTAACAGGTCAAGATCTGTATATCATTCCACCGGTAACTCCCCTCAACCCAAAAACACTTTTCTCTGATTAAAAATTTCATTTCTATTGTTCTAAAAACCAAATTGATAAGGAGTCTCTCCACGCAAAAAGTCGGTCAGATGCTTTGACGATATCTGGTCTACATCAGCGGCCCGTTTTGATATCATGTCTTTTTTCCTTTCTTTCTTCTTATTATTTATAATTCTATTCTTCCAATTGTCTTTCGAAAATCGGCCAAGACGCTGACCTAAATCTCTTTCTGACTCCTATCTCCACCCTCAATTGGGTCATGCGTCATACATTTCTCTTTCTTTCTTTTCTTCCTTCCTTCCTTTTTCCTTTCTTTCCTTCTTCTTTCCTTAGGATCGTCTAGTACACTCTTAGTGAATTATTTTCAATTCAGTTATTTTCCGTTTTTAAAAAAAAAATTAACAACCTGTTTAATAAACTGAGTAAGAAAAAATTAAATCATATTTCTAGGAATATTTCTAATAATGCAAGGTGCCACAATCTGGTGCACTGTAATATTGATCTCTTTCCTCATCCCCCTCCTCAATTGTCTTGCCCTTTTTTCTCTCTCTCTCTCTCTCTCTTCCCCATTTTTCTTCTCTAATCTTTCTCTCTCTCACCTTCTCATTTCTCTTCCTTTTCTTCACACACCCTTTCAATCTCCTGTACTTCTCTCCCACCAAGTAATGATACAGTGAGTATGACCAGATTTTTATGATTGTTGTAATAGTGCCAAAGATATGTTCCCATAACTTTATATTTTAATCAATTATAAAAGAAAAAAGATAATTTTCAATATAGGATAGAGAAAAAAAATATTCTTCTATTGTTATGGAGAAATATCAATAACCTTTACCCAGTGACTTTGCTTCAATGAAATGAGAATATTTTCATACACCAAGGTAAATGGATCATACTGTCAGATTGATTTGTTTATATATATATATATATATATATATATATATATATATATATATAATGCATAAAAGGTTAATGGTCAGAGTTGAATCAGACCAAGAAACAGCAGTATTAAGAATTGCTCAATACATGTGAAAAAAAATAAACTAAAAGTAAAAATAACTTGTAAATCTTAACTTTAAAAATCAGAGGGTCAGTTGAATCTGCTACCTTGGTTTCAACCTTACGGCATCCTCAGGTGATTTTTATCAAATGACCTCTTAATACTTCTCCTTCCTTCCTTCACATACTCCTCCTCCTCCCTTTCTATTATAGCCAACATCATGTCTTTATTTATTTTTGAAAAATGTAGCATTCTTTAGTTTTTTTTGTTTGTTTTTTTAAAAAAATAAAAGAGCATTAAGAGGTCATTTGATAAAAATCACTCAAAGATACTGTAAGGTTGAAACGAAAATAGCGGATTCAACTGACCTGATTTTTATATATATATATATATATATATATATACACACACACACTACAGTTGCAAAGTCTGAGGTGACCCCTGGTAATTTTTTAAATTGGCCCAAAAAGTAATTGTTTTGTAAGAGAAAATTATTATACGTGGTTAAAAAAAAAAGTGGAACATGATTTTTTTTTTTTATTAGAAATTTTACTATGATAAAAAGGAAAAAAGCATTTTATGATTAAATTTTGCTCGCAGAAAAATATCCTCCTTTTGCCTTGATTATTGCAACACAAATTTTTGGCATTAGTTGCAAAAGTTTCTCAAAGTATAACTTTATAATTGATTCTTTTTTCAATGACTCTAAGAGCATTTTTCATTTTTTTCTTCACTCTTCTGTCAAGTTCATCCCAAGCTAATTCTGGGATTTTCAAATTTTTGAACTGCAGTGTGTGTGTGTGTGTGTGCGCACTAAATGATTGACCAAATTGGCTTTAACAACTTGTTACAGTTCCTAATAGACAAGGTATTTGCCAATCTGTAGACAAGCCAAACATTTTTTTAAAAAAATCTTTGTTCTTTTATAAATCTAATAAATTATTTCTTTCTTTTTAGGTTGAACGTCCAAAAGATCGTTGCTTTCATTCTACACTAACAGTCGGAGACACCAAATACACTACACCTTACTGGTAAGTTCTTGAGCTTTCTTTATTAATTGTTCACCCAACACAAGGCTCAACAGCCCTCAAGGTAGAGGGTTGCTGACTGAGGTTGATACACATAATAGGAGGAGGTAGGAAGTGCAGATTATGTAGGAATGATAACAGTTGACCCTAGACTTGAAGATATTCAGACTGTAGCAGTTGGGGAAGCATCCTCTTGGGAGTCAGTTCCAGAAAGTAACAGTTCTTGGAAAGAGACTTCTTTCTTACTAAAGGAATATGAAGGGAATGAAGATGATTCAACCCTGTGGATGTGGCATAGAAAGTGAGGGTTAGAACTGGTTGAACTAGAGCATGTAGCCTGTCAGAAAATTTCCCATGGAAATAGCAATAGAGTAGCTTGAGGCTTGCAACATTTCATCTGTGAGAAAAAGTGGGGTCATCAGGACACTTATGAACTCTATCAAGACAGGGCCAGTGAGTACTGGGCAGCTCCGGCTCAGATATAGCAGCAATACTCCACTTTTGATCTGTTCTGGCTCTTTTAAAGATAGACCATAGCAGACTGAGTCCAGTACTTACTGGAGCAGTACAAGGAACTGACCATTTTTTCAGCATCTTTAATGACAATTCATATACACATTTGTGAAAATTAATTGAAACTCCTTTTTTTCGTATTTTTCCAATGAAACATGATCCAATGCACATGTTAGTATGTCATATGTCCATTCCACAAAGTCGTTCCTTGCAGATTGACCAGATTCTCGATTGGATTTAAATCAGGAGAATTTCCTGGTTAGTCTATTGTACTTTGATTTGCTTACTGGTAAGGTTTACCAGTGTGTTCATGCAGCGTTACAATTTTCATACACTTCCTTGTAGTAACATCCATTGCAGACAATGGCCGTAGAACAACTAATCGACAGTTGAGATAATAATGCCTGGGCATGATAAAAATCTGATGCAATCACAGATGACACAATAGCTTTCAAGGCCAAACAAATTTCATTATACACCTTGAAAATAGATTCATATTACTGCACACCACTGCAAATGATCTAATCTGAGGAAAAAATAGAAATCGATTACACCTTGTCACTCCAGTAGTTCTAAAACTGATGTTATGGTGAAAGAAAGAAAACTAAAGTGGTTGTTTCAATTAATTTGCACAAGGGTGTATATGAGTTCCACTTGAAGTCTGATGTAAATTTGAGTGATTCATTTTCTATGGCTTATCAAAAAAATATTTTCCAGCTTCAAATAACCTGTAAAGGTGAGTTAAAACCAGAAAATATTTTTAGATTGTAAAATTTTTTTGTAATTAATAATGATTTATTGATAAGTCTTACTATTTAACCCATCACTGGGGGGAGATGTGGATTCATACCTTTCTTAATGGTATTTGCACATTTGTGACCATAAAAAATCCAACTGGAATTGGAATTCAGCTCACCAGTTAACAATTCTGAGCCATTATCCATTACACCATCTACACATCTATAGTTATAGCATCTGGTATTCCCAAGCAATCACCAGAGTCAGCGTTACTCAATTTCAGTAATTGTACGAGGACCAGCGTTTCAACATAATGTGGATGCAAGACACCAGTAAATCTGAGGTGTTCAAGACAAAGAGCCTACTTAAAAGAACCATTCATCATGAGAGATAAAATTTAAGGGTCTGCTCGCTGATGATGGAAAGTTACTAGTTTGAATTTGGAGGTACTGTGATTGTTACAAGGCAATTACAACCCCACTTTAAGCCATAAAAAGTTTGTTTGGAGTAGAGATCAGTTGCTAGTCTCTGGTCATTTGCATTTTTAGAGGTGCACCCATACATTTTTTTAAAAATCATTTCATCTCAAACAAAGCAACACAGGGGGTTACAGGCAAAAAAGAGAAAGGAACAGGATCCAGGAAAATGGAAAATGGCGATTGACATTGCATTTAAATTTTTGAAGATTGTAGGTGACAGGGAGTCAAGAAATTTGTTGGGAATTGCAAGAAAAGAAACTAATAGAATAGAACAGACAGACAACAGTAAAACCAGTTACCAATCTAGTAGCTTTTTAAATTCATGCAGACAAGGATGTTAAGAAGAATAGCTCATCAGAAAAAACATAAAAAAAATTTTGTAGAAAAGACAGAGGAAGGAATTCTAAACATGTCGATGGAATGAAACTGAAGTCATGATGATTAAAGGATCAATAACATGACAATCATAGACCCTTCTTTGAATTTTGTCAAGAATCAAATTTGATGTACAACAGGTATATGTTAAAACAGATATGGCAGTAATATTTTGCAATGCACAGAGGAATAGTAGACTTCTAAATATGGAAGAGGGTTCTGACCAAAAATTTTCTTTAATGACAAAACAAGAAAGGGAGAGGAAAAAATAGAAGTTGATTAATATAATTATTCCACTTCATGTCAGTGGAAAGTAAAACTCCGATTTTTAAAAAGATATTTATCCCTATTAAACAATTGGAATATAACTTTTTTCTAGCTAGTTCAAAAAGAAAGAACAGTGAGACCTAATTGCTAATCTAATAACACGCTTAAATTCAATAGACGATTACTAAGGAATGTTCATCAGAATAATTTGCCATAAAAATATTTGTATAAAATGACAGAGGGAAATTTGTTACAAAAAATTGGAAAAGTGGGTTTCATTCAAGATGCCAGGTCAGGATTGATTATATTAAATGAAAACCCAATGAATTTTGTCAAAATCATTCATGATATTTAAATTAATTGCAGAAGACCAGATACATCAATGCACAAACTCTGCAACAATATTTACTGAAGATCTGAGTATGTTTTGGAGCAGATCATTAAAGCAAAGTATCAGACTGAGAAGGGGAGCCTTAGGAAATGCTTGTATTGATCTCATGACTGGCCATTAACAATGACCTTCATGTATCGTCTGCTTAGAAATGACTTGATGATTGAAAAAAAAATTTCAGAATTTCATTTGTAATTGGATTTTGATTATATTTGCATTTAATATCAATTTGCTTTGAATTTCAATAAATTAATTTACATTTTAAGAGACAGACACCTTATAAAGTGTCTTCATCAATGCTCCAATACTCTGCTTGTGTCATACATAGCAGAGTAAATATTTTCAAATAAAACTAAAATATTAGTCACTTCTTGAATATAACAGCTTTAAAATTATTTTAACAAAGTCCTGATAATTACAGAAAAAGATTTTCTTTTGATAAAGATTTTTTATAGTTTTTTAAAACAAAAAAATTTCCTTGAGACTACAATAGCCGAAATTTAAAAAAAAAAAATTAAATGAGAATATCCCAGGGTTCAATTAAGATTTATGAAAAAAAAATTTGAGGAAAATGCTCCAATTCCAGACGTCAGTGAAATGCAGAAAATGAAAATATGCAAACACAGAACAACAGAAGATGACAAATTTGAAACATATAATAAAAATACTTTATTTATAAAATATACAGTGTATTAAATTAAAGAAAAGAAAAGAAAAAATAAATAGTAAAAAAAATGATGAGGGGACAATTGGTTGATCAAAAATATATCAATGTGACGAAATACAGAAAAAAATAAGTGACAGCAGATTATATATATATATATATATATATATATATATATATATATAGAAACATGTTAACTTAAACAAATTCTAAATATTTTTTCGAAATTGTTATCAGAAATAAAGTTTGAAAGAAAAGATGTCCATTCAATTCTCTGAGTGAAAAGGAAAATAGTTGTTAATGTCCTGATACAAGTCCTTTCTTAAATTAAAATTTCAATTTTAAAGTGCAAATTTTTTGAGTAATATCATAATGAACCACAGGAGATATAGACGACTTGGGTTTGAGTATACCATTCAGGATTCTTTAGTTGGTCATTATTCTTTTTGACGTTTCGATTCATCTGAAAGCTAACAAAATGAATCCAATTTTTTGAATGTCCGATTCCTCTGAAAAAAAATTAAATTAATGAATTATATCCCAACACAATGAAAAAAAAAAACCCTTATATTAGCAGCCACAATTGGCATATGAATGTGAGTAGGTAAACCCATTGAACACTTCCAGAGGTCACTTGTACTTATTTGACAAGTCAAATTCTGGCCAAAATCAGAGACCATTTGACAGGAGGTATTTTATAGGAAGAAGGTTCTCTTCAAGAACTTGCAGAATTTTTAAAAAAAACAAAAATATTCCATAATCTGATTTATTCAAAGGAATAAAGAGATGACTGTTATTCTCATATTTGATGTTTTGCTTTTTTGATTAAGGTATTCATTAAATATACTTTTTAAAATCTAAGGTGGGGGTACAATTATTGGTCTAACGTAACAATATATATATAATTTAACAAATGTAGTATTCATACACAGAAATAAGTTCAACCACAACTTCGATCTAAAGAATGTACACTTGTTAAGAGAAAGTAACTTACTTAGATGGAAAAATTCTTGAGAGTGTTGCTATTGAATCTTACCAAAATAGAGATCAGTGCCTCAGGTTTTTCAAAATATATCCTTTCCTAAAAGAAATACTTGTTTCCAAAGCCAACATACATGAATATAAAAATTTTTAAAAATTAAAAGAAAATTCAAAACCTATTATTTAAAATATATAATACATAAATTAATTTTTCTAAAACTAAAATAATATGAATAATAATTATAAAACAAAAATTCTACAGCAACAATAACAACATTTACTCCCTTTCATTTTTTTAAACATTATATTACATCTCTTAGTATCCTCCATAATTTACCTTGACTTTTAGTTAGCCTGATTCTGAGAATTCTTTTAAAATTCTGAAACACTAGTGACATCATTACTTGTGTTTATAATACTTGTTGCAAAATAAAATCCATACATTTTCCTTGCTAAAATCCATCAGGATGAAACACGTTGGCTAAGAAATTTTCCATTATGCCCCATTAGATGTTTAAGCCAATGATGTTAAAAATTAGATACAAGGGGTTACTGGGAGTTTTTAAATGAATTTTAAAAGAATATTGATTATTTGGGAA